TACTTATTCTTATACAAGTTCAAATCATTTCACCAAAATCCATGAATAAAAATTACTGACCTTTTCCTTGCAGTTTGGATTTAAATGCTTTTTCAAACTCGTTAACATCTTTATCGTTCATAAGAGTAATCACCGGCCTGTTTATAACCTTAACGTCGAAGGCCAGGACTATTCTCCACGGATGCAATCATCCGCCCGTGCACGGTTTCAGTGTCCTTAGAACGACAAAGACGTATTTAAGCTCCGCTCAAAGGACCACTCTGTTAGTGAATTTCTATCTCTAATTCAACCAAAGCTTGAATCATTACCAGAGGTTGTAAGGCTCAGGTTTTAATCATAAATGATTCAAGGTCCACAACCAGAAAGAATGATCTGTATTTTTATTCATGGAGAACTCTGGCGCCAAAACCCATACACTCCTGTTTTATACCTCTTGACACACAAAGGCACTTTGCTCCGCCCACCTTTAGGTTAGGGGTTAAATAATTTTAAATGGTTAATTACAAAAGCAGATCATAACATTGGCTCAAGAGACGCACTGATAATAGCTCCTAGGAGAATAATTCTGGATTGAATTATTACTAAACGGGGGGATTTCTTATTATTTAGCTGCAACAAAATGGACGCTGTGGTCTGGCTAATCATCCTGAGCTAGGCCCATCTCCCGGCTATCTACCTCTCTGTCAACCGGACGGGACCACCTAGTGTTGACACGGAGCCCCGCCGATCCTACACGACTGGTCTGCCGACGAAATCGTCTGATGTGGTTACGACGTCGACCACGAAGATTCCATCTGCTAGCCCCGGCCCGCTAGCACACGCTAGCCGTGGCCTCTTACTCGCTAGTGCTTTAGCAGCCTCCGAACTATCCTATTGCTGTTCACCGGACCTTATGATAACTCAGCTATACAGCTGATGTCTGCTGGACTGTTCCTTTTTACGGTACTACATCCTGTTTATGTTTAGCCTCAGCCCAAACATGGTTAGCTTATTGTTGTTTCGGTTATTTCTAATTGTACTATTTCACTGTAGATCCCCCAGCCCAGCTAAACCTGCCTTAGATAGCTCCTTTGTCCCACCCCCCATACACGCGGAGACCGACTCAATTGGTGCCTCCAGTGATGCTATCTCTTTCATTGTTACCCAACGCTTAGGTTTACAAATTCAGACAGCTGATGTTCTGAAAGAGCTGCAAAATCTGGACCCCTACAAATCAGCTGGGCTAGACAATCTGGACCCTTTCTTTCTAAAACTAGCCGCCGAAATTGTCGCAACCCCTATTACTAGTCTGTTCAACCTCTCTTTCATAACGTCTGAGATCCCCAGAGATTGGAAAGCTGCCGCGGTCATTCCCTTCTTCAAAGGGGGTGACACTCTAGATCCAAACTGCTACAGACCTATATCCATCCTGCCCTGCCTTTCGAAAGTATTTGAAAGCCAAGTTAACAAACAGATCACCGACCATTTCGAATACCACCGTACCTTCTCCGCTATGCAATCCGGTTTCCGAGCTGGTCATGGGTGCACTTCAGCCACGCTCAAGGTCCTAAACGATATTATAACCGCGATTGATAATAGACAGTACTGTGCAGCCGTCTTCATCGACCTGGCCAAGGCTTTCGACTCTGTCAACCACCGCATTCTTATTGGCAGACTAAATAGCCTTGGTTTCTCAAATGACTGCCTCGCCTGGTTCACCAACTACTTCTCAGATAGAGTTCAGTGTGTCAAATCGGAGGGCCTGTTGTCTGGACCTATGGCAGTCTCTATGGGGGTGCCACAGGGTTCAATTCTTGGGCCGACACTTTTCTCCGTGTATATCAATGATGTCGCTCTTGCTGCTGGTGACTCTCAGATCCACCTCTACGCAGACGACACCATTTTGTATACATCTGGCCCTTCATTGGACACTGTGTTAACAAACCTCCAAACGAGCTTCAATGCCATACAACACTCCTTCAGTAGCCTCCAACTGCTCTTAAACACTAGTAAAACTAAATGCATGCTTTTCAATCGAACGCTGCTGGCACCCGCCCACCCGACTAGAATCACCACTCTCGACGGGTCTGACCTAGAGTATGTGGACAACTACAAATACCTAGGTGTCTGGTTAGACTGTAAACTCTCCTTCCAGACTCACATAAAGAATCTCCAATCCAAAGTTAAATCTAGAATCGGCTTCCTATTTCGCAACAAAGCCTCCTTCACTCATGCTGCCAAACATGCCCTCGTAAAACTGACTATCCTACCGATCCTTGACTTCGGCGATGTCATTTACAAAATAGCCTCCAACACTCTACTCAGCAAATTGGATGTAGTCTATCACAGTGCCATCCGTTTTGTCTCCAAAGCCCCATACACTACCCACCACTGTGACCTGTACGCTCTTGTTGGCTGGTCCTCACTACATGTTCGTCGTCAAACCCACTGGCTCCAGGCCATCTATAAATCACTGCTAGGCAAATCCCCACCTTATCTTAGCTCATTGGTCACCATAGCAGCACCCACCCGTAGTCTGCGCTCCAGCAGGTATATCTCACTGGTCATTCCCAAAGCCAACACCTCCTTTGGCCGCCATTCCTTCCAGTTCTCTGCTGCCAATGACTGGAACGAATTGCAAAAATCTCTGAAGCTGGAGACTCTTATCTCCCTCACTAACTTTAAGCATCAGTTGTCAGAGCACCTTACCGATCACTGCACCTGTACACAGCCCATCTGAAATTAGCCCACCCAACTACCTCATCCCTATATTGTTATTTATTTTGCTCTTTTGCACCCCAGTATCTCTATTTGCACATAATCTCTTGCACATCTAGCATTCCAGTGTTAATACTATTGTAATTATTTTGCACTATAGCCTATTTATTGCCTTACCTCCATAACTTGCTACATTTGCACACACTGTATATATATTTTCTGTTGTATTTTTGACTTTGTGTTTTCTTTACCCCATATGTAACTCTGTGTTGATTTTATTGCACTGCTTTGCTTTATCTTGGCCAGGTCTTAGTTGTAAATGAGAACTTGTTCTCAACTGGCTTACCTGGTTAAATAAAGGTTAAAAAAAATATTAAACAGTTTCCACCTTTCTCCTTCACCCTGGAATGTTTAGTCCCGCCTCCCTCTGTTAGTGGGTTGATAATTCTAACACAGTTTACACATTTATACTGTATTTGGGGTGAAATCCTTTAGTCATTATTCTTAAAATACAAATTAATCTAACAATGACTAAAATGTAAATGTGTTGCTAACAGAACCTGCTAAGAGAAAGCAACTCAGCACCGATGCTACGATGGAAAGTTGGTTATCATGTAATAACAGCTATTACACATTAATGATAAGTAAAATACACATGTACTGTTATACTTTTTACATAAAACATTTTATTATAGGATAAATAAATACACAGTCATTTTCTTATCTGCTCCTGTGTCACTGACAATTAAAGTACTGTACAAATAGGAAGGTATGTCAGTTTGGTTAGAAGTTAGAACATGTACAAGGCAAGAGTGATGCAAAATGTAGGACCTGAAGTTGATGACAAATTTAGAGATGCACTACAAGACCAAAAGTATGTGGACACTTGCTCGTCGAACATCTCATTCCAAAATCATGGGCATTAATATGGAGTTGGTCCCCCCGTTGCTGCTATAACAGCCTCCACTCTTCTGGGAAGGCTTTCCACTAGAGGTTGGAACATTGCCGCGGGGACTTACTTCCATTCAGCCACAAGAGCATTAGTGAGGTCGGGCACTGATGTTGGGTGATTAGGCCTGGCTCGCAGTCGGCATTCCAATTCATCCCAAAGGTGTTCGATGGGGTTGAGGTCAGGGTTCTGTGCAGGCCAGTCAAGTTCTTCCACACCGATCGACAACCCATTTCTGTATGGACCTCGCTTTGTGCACAGGGGCATTGTCATGCTGAAACAGGAAAGGGCCTTCCCCAAACTGTTGCCACAAAGTTGGAAGCACAGAATCGTCTAGAATGTCATTTTTTGCTGTAGCATTAAGATTTCCCTTCACTGGAACTAATGGGTCTAGCCCGAACCATGAAAAACAGCCCCAAACCATTATTCCTCCTCCACCAAATTTACAGTTGGCGCTATGCATTCGGGCAGGTAGCGTTCTCCTGGCATCCTCCAAACCTAGATTCATCCATAGGACTGCCAGATGGTGAAGTGTGATTCATCACTCCAGAGAACGCGTTACCACTGCTCCACAGTCCAATGGCACTGAGCTTTACACCACTCCAGCTGACGCTTGGCATTGCGCATGGTGATCTTAGGCTTATGTGCTGCTGCTCGGCCATGGAAACCCAATTCATGAAGCTCCCGACGAACAATTCTTGAGGCAGTTTGGAACTCAGTAGTGAGAATTGAACCCGGGGACAGACAATTTTTACGCACTACGCGATTCAGCACTCGCTGGTCCCGTTCTGTGAGTTTGTGTGGCCATCCAATTTGTGGCTGAGCCGTTCCTAGATGTTTTCACTTCACAATAACAGCACTTACAGTTAACCGGGGCAGCTCTAGCAGGGCAGAAATTTGACGAACTGACTTGAAAGTCACTGAGCTCTTCAGTAAGGCCATTCCACTGCCAATGTTTGTCTATGAAGATTGCATGGCTGTGTGCTCGGGTGTGGCTGAAATAGCCGAATCCACTAATGTCCACATACTTTTGTGTGTGTATATATATATATATATATATTTGTACAATTTTGTTTTTCTTTCAAACAAAGGAGGGTTATTGAAACGTAGTTCTCACAGCACGTGACAGCATCATTTCACCAAGACAACATGATTATAAAACATATCAGTTAGTGTCCAGTCCAGCCATGATCCCTGCTGTAACAGTCCTGACTCTGGGTGTGTCCCAAATGGCACCCGGCTCTGGTCAAAAGTAGTGCACTATATAGGGAATAGGGTGCCATTTGGGATACAACCTCTGTTTCAGGCTTTCCTAGGCCTTGTTGATGTAGCCCTCCTTGATCAGAAAGTCATAGATCTTGCGTGTCTTGTTGACGTCGATCTTGATGAGTGCCCGGGCCTGTGCCAGCCGTAGACCACCCTGCCGCCTGCACTCGTTCAGCAGGGCCTGCTTGTACTCCAGGTAGGCACCTGGCACCAGACGCACCACCTGGCACAGCTGCAAGCAGCCACAGGACAGAGAGAGACGCCATGTTACATCAACAAAATGCCAGTCATGACTGTGTCCCAAATGCCACTGTATTCCCAATAGAGCAGCGCTCTCCAACCCTGTTCCCTGGAGAGCTAACATCCTGTAGCTTTTTGCTACAACCCTAATCTAGGGCACCTGATTCTAATAATTAGCTGGTTGATAAGCTGAATCAGGTTAGTTACAACTGGGGTTGGAGCAAAAACCTGCAGGAGGGTAGCTCTCCAGGAACAGGGTTGGAGAGCCTTGCCATAGAGTGTACTACTTTTGACCAGGGCCTATGGGGAATAGGGTACCATTTAGGATGCACTCTTTCTGTTTAGCCCTTCACGTACTGCCCTGGTGGGGCTGAGAGCCTTACATCCATAGAGATCCTAGAATTCATATGTAATAGAATGGATTCTATATGTACCTCTTTCTCCCTGTCGTTGAGCTTCTCTGTCCCTGGCAGGCCGGTCAGGTTGAGAGGAGGGGCGCTTCTCCTGCCTGTTGCTGTGGAACAATAACACACAGTTAAACAGATCTAAACACCTGACTATTCTCGTATTGTTTTAAGTGACAAACTGACAGTTTGCTAAATCAGTTTTGTTGGAAAATAAAGACAAATATTTACGACAGGCAAATGAGTGTAAATATACCCGTGTGGAAATGACATAGATGTGTCCTACTTGTGCACTTGAGGTTACTGAATGACAACGGAAACGGGGAAGATAAAGCTAGAGACAGATATGCATAGCAGTCCTGTTTGTCGAGTGTATTTCTGGATGAGCATCTCTGAGAATACATTAATGTGACTGCACCTGGGACCATGACAAGAAGAGAGGGAGCGGGGGAAGGAAGAGAGGGAGCGGGGGAGGAAGAGAGGGAGCGGGGGAGGAAGAGAGGAGCGGGGAGGAAAGGAAGAGGGGAGCGGGGAGGAAAGAGAAAGCGGAGGAGAGAGGGAAGAGAAGGGAGCGGGAGGAGGAGAGGAAGCGAGGGAGCGGGGAGGGAGGGAAAAGGGAAAGCGGGGGAGGAAGCGAAGAAGGGAGCGGGTGAGAAGAGGGGAAAAGAGAGGGAAGGGGGAGGGGAAAGGGGAGGAGGGGAGGAAGAGAGGGGGGGGGGGAGGGAGAGGAAGAGAGGGAGCGGGGGGGGAGAGGAAGAGGGAAAAAAGGGAGGAAGGGGGAAGGGGGGAAGGAGAGGGGGGTGGAGAGGAAGAGAGGGAGAGGGGGGGAAAAGAGGGAGAGGGGGAGGTGAGGAAAAGGGGAGCGGGGGGGGAAGAAAAGGGAAAAGAGGGAGGGGGGGAGGAGAGGAAGAGAGGGAGAGGGGGAAAAAGAGGAAGAGAGGGAGCGGGGGGAGGAGAGGAATGAGGGAGGTGGGGAGGGGGAGGAAGAGAGGGCGAGGGGGCGGGGGAGGAAGAGAGAGTGGGCGAAGGAAGAGAGGGAGGGGGGAGGAGGAAAAGGAGGGGGGAGGAGGAGGAGGGAAGAGAGGGGGGGGGGGAGGAGAGGAAGAGGGGAAAAGGGGGGGCGGGGGGGGAAGGGAAAAAAGGGGGGGGAGTGGGAGGGGAGAGGGGGTGGGGGGAGAGGGAGAGGGGGGGGAGGAGGAAGAGAGAGGGGGAAGGAAGAGAGGGAGCGGGGGGAGGAAGGAAGAGAGGGAGCGGGGGAGGAGAGGAAGAGAGGGAGGGGTGGAGGGGGAAGAGGGGAGCGGGGGAGGAGAGGAAAAGAGGGAAAGGGGGGGAGGAGGGAAAGAGGGAGAGGAGAAGGAAGAGAGGGAGCGGGTGGGGAGAGGAAGAGAGGGAGAAGGAAGAGAGGGGGCGGGTGGAGGGGAGGAAAGAGGGAGAGGAGAAGGAAAGAGGGGTGGGGGAGGAGAGGAAAAGAGGGGGGGGGGAGGAGGGGGGGGAAGGGGGGGGGGGGGGAGGAGAGGGAAAAGAGGGAGGGGAGAGGAAGAAGGGAGCGGGGAGGGAGGAAAAAGGGGGGAGCGGGGGGAAGAAGGGAGGGGGGAAAAAGGGGGAGGGGGGGGGGGAGGAAAAGGGGAGGGGGGGGGAGGAAAAGGGAGGAAGGGGGGAGGGGGGAGGAGGGGAGCGGGGGGGAGGGAAGAGAGGCAGTGGGGGGGAGGGAAAAAGAGGCGAGGGGGGGAAGAGAGAGAGCGGGGGGGAGGAAGAGGGAGCGGGGGAGGAAAGAGGGGCGGGGGGAAGGGAGGAAGAGAGTGGGGGGGGGAGGAAGGAGGGGGGGGGGAAGAGGGAAAAGGGGGCGGGAGAGAGAGGGAGGGGGGGAGGAAAAGGGGCCGGGGGGGGGAGGGAAAAAAAAAAGGGAGCGGGGGGAAAAGAAGAGAGGGGGAGGAAGAGGAAGCAGGTGAAGGAAGAGAGAGAGAGGGGGGGGGAAGAGGAACAGTGAAAGGAAAAGGGGGCAGGGGGGGGAAAAGAGGGGAAGGGGGAGGAAGAGGGGAAGGGAAACGGGGGAGGGGAAGAAAGAGGGAGCAGGGGAGGAAGAGGAAAAGAAGGGGGGAAGGAAGAGAGGGAGCGGGGGGAGGGGAAAAAGGGGGAGGGGAGGGGGGGAGGGGGGAAAAGGGGGGGGAGGTGGGGAGGAAGGGGGGGGGAAGTGGGCAGGGGGGGGAGGAAAGAGGGAGGGGGGGAGGAAAAAAAGAGAGGGGCGGGGGGGAGGAAGAGGAAAAGGAGGGGGGGGTGAGGGAGGGGGGGGGAGGAAGAGAGGAGCGGGGGGGAGGAAAGGAGGGGGGAAAGAGGGGGGGAAAGGGGGGGGAGGAAAAAGGGGGGAAGGGGGAAAGAGGGAGGGGAGGGAGGGGGGCGGGAGGAGGAAGGGAGGAGAGGGGGAGGGGAAGGAAAAGAGGAGGGGGAGGAGAGGGAAAAGGGGGGGAGGGAAGAGGGAAAGGAAAGGGGAAGAGAGGGGGGAGGAAGGGGGGGGGGAAAGGGAAAAGAGAGGCAGGGGGGGAAAAAGAGAGAGAGGGGGGGAAGAGGGGGGGGGAGGGAAGGGGGAAGGGAAAAGGGGGGGGGAAGAGGGAGCGGGGGGAAAAGGGGGAAAAGAGGGGGAGGGGGGGGAAAGGAAGAGGGAAGGAAGAAAAGGGAAAGGGGGGGGAGAGGAAGAGAGGGGGAGGGAAAGGAAAAGGGGGGGGAAAAAAAGGGGGAAGGAGGGAGCAGAAGGAAGAGAGGAAGAGAGGGAGCGGGGGAGGGGGGGGGAAGGAGGGAAGGAGGGGGGAGGGAAAAGGAGGGGAAAAGGGGGGGGAGGGGAGGAAGGAGGGGAGGGGGGGAGAGGAAAGGGGGGGGGGGAGAGGAAGAGAGGGGGGGAGGAAAAAGGGGGGAAAGGGGGAGGGGAAGGGGAGGGAAGGGGGGAGGGGGGGGGAGGGGAAAGGGGGGGGGGGAGCGGGGGAGGAAAAGAGGGAGGGGGGGGGAAAAGGGGGGAAGGGGGGAGGGGAGGAAGGAAAAGGGGGGGGGGGGAGGGGGGGGAGGGGGGGAGGAGAGGAAGACAGGGGGGGGGAGGAAGAGAAGGAGGAAGGGGGGGAGAGGGGGGGGGGGAAGGAGAGGGAAAAGGGGGGAGGGGGGGAAGGGAGCGGGGAGGGAAAGGAGGGGAGCGGGGGAGGAAGAGGGGAGAGGGGGGGGGGAGGAAAAAGGAAAGAGAGGGGAAGGGGGGGGAGGAAGGGAAACGGGGGGGAGGAGAGGGAGAGGGGGGGAAGAGAGGAAGAGAGGGGGGCGGGAAAGGAGAGGAAGGGGAGGGAAACAGAGGGGAAGAGGGGAGGGGGGAGGAAGAAGGAGGGAGCGGGGGGAAAAGGGGGGAGGGGAGGGGGAAAAAGGGGGAGGGGGGGAGGAGAAAAGGGGGGGGGGGAGGAAGAGGGAGGGGGGGGGGGAGGGGAGGAAAGGGGGGGGGAAGGGGGGGGAAGGAAGAGGGGGGGGGGGAAGAGGGGGGGGGGGGCAGAGGAGGGAAGGGGGGGAGGGGGGGAGGGGGGAGGAGGAGGGAAGAGAGGGAGGGCGGGGGAGGGGAATGGAGAGGGAGAGGGGGCGGGGGGAAGGGGGGAGGGGGGGGGGGGGGTGAGGAAGAGGGGAGGGGGGGAGGAAAGAGGGAGGGGGGGGGGAGAGAGGGGAAAGGGGGGGAGGAGAGGAAAGAGGGGAGGGGGGGAGGAAGGAAAAGGGAGGGAAAGGGGGAGGGGGGGGGAAAAAAAGGGGGAAGGGGAAGGGGGAAAAAAGGGGGGGGGGGGGGGGAAGGGGGAAGGAGAGGGGCGGGGGAAGGAGAGGAAGGGGGGGGGGGAGGGGGAGGGGAAGAGAGGGGGAGGGAGAAGAGAGGGAGGGGGGGGGAGGAAAGGGGAGGGGGGGAGGAAGAGAGGGAGGGGGGGAGAGGGGGGGGGTGGGGGGGAAGAGGAAGAAGGGGGGAAGGGGGGGGAGGTGGAAAAGAGGAGAGAAGAGGGGGCGGGGGAGGGGGGAGGAAAAAAGGGAACGGGGGGGGAAGGGGGAGCGGGGGGAAGGAGAGGAAGGGAGGGGGGGGGGGAAGGGGAAAGGGAAAGAGGGAGCGGGGGGGGAAAGGGGGGGGGAGAGGGAGGGGAAGCCCGGGGGAGAAAAAGGGGACGGGGGAGGAAAGAGGGAAGGAGGGGGAAAAGGAAGGGAGGGGGCGGGGGGAGGAAAAAGGGGGGAGGGGGAAAGGGGAGAGGGGGGGGGGAGGAGAGGAAGAGAGGGAGAAGGGGAAAGGGAAAAGGGAGGGTTGGGGGAGGAAGGAGGGAGAAGGGGGGGGGAAAGGAAGAGAGGGAGGGGGGGGGAAGAGGGGGGACAAAGAGGGGGAGGGGGGAGGAGAGGAAGAGGGGGGAGGGGAAAGGGGGAGGGAAGGGGGGAGCGGGGGAGGAAGGAAAAGAGGGAGCGGGGGGGAGGAGAGGAAGAGAGGGGGGGGGGGGGAAGGGAAAAGAAGGAGGGGGGGGGGAAAAGGAGAGGGGGCAGGGGAGGAAGAAAGGGAAAAAGGGGGGGGGGAAAGGGGAGGAAAAAAGGGGAGGGGGAGGGGGGAAGGGAAGGCGGGAGGGGGAGGAAAAAAGGGGGGTGGGGGGGAGGGGGGAAAGGAAGGAAAGAGGGGCGGGGGGAGGAGAGGAAGAAGGGAGGGGGGAAAAGGAAGAGGGGGGAGCGGGGGGGGAGGGGAAGGAAAAGGGGGGGGAGGGGGAAAGAGAGGGAAAGGGGGGGGGGAAAAGAGGAAAGGGGGAGGGGAGGAGAGGGAAGGGGGCGGGGGGAAGGAAGAGAGGGAGCGGGGGGGAGGAAGAGGGGAGGGGGGGAGGAAGGGGGAGGGAGGGGGGGGGGGGGGGGGGAAGGGGGAAGAGGGGGGCGGGGGAGAGAGGAAAGAGGGGGGGGGGAGAGAGGAAGAGGGGAAGGGGGGGGGGGGAAAAGGGGGGAGCGGGGGAGGGAAGGGGGGAGGGGGGGGGGGAGGAAGAGAGGGGGGGGGGGGGGGAGGAAGGGGGGGAGGGGAGGGGAGGAAGAGGGGGGGGGGGGAGGGAGGAAGAGAGGGGGCGGGGGAGGGGAGGGAAAAGGGGGGCGGGGGAGGGGGGAAAGAGGGGCCGGGGGGGGGGGGGAAAAAAGAGAGGGAGCGGGGGGAAAAAGGGGAGGGGGGGGGAGGAAAGGGGAGGGGGGGGGAAGAGGGGAGGGGAGGAAGAGAGGGGGGGGGAGGGGGAAAGAAGGGGGGGGAGGGGGGGGGGGGAGGGAGAGGGGAGGGGGGGGGGGAGAAGAGAAGGGGGGGGGGAGGAAAAGAGGAAAAAGAGGGGGAGGGAGGGAGGAAGAGAGGGAGGGGGGGGAGAGGGAAAAGGGGGGGAAGGGGGCGGGGAAGGGAAAAGGGGAGGGGAGGGGGGAAGAGAGGGGTGGGGGGAAAGGGGGGGAGGGGGCGGGGAGGGGAGAAAGAGGGGGGGGGGGGGTGGGGGGGGGGGAGGGGGAGGGGGGAAAAGGAGAGGGGGGGGGGGGGGAGGAAGGGGGGGGGGGGGGAAGAAAGGGAGGGGGCGGGGAGAGGAAGAGAGGGGAGGGGGGAGGGAAAAGAGAGAAGGGGGGAGGGGGAAAAAGGGGGAAAACGGGAGAGGGAAGGGGGAAAGGGGGCAGGAAAAAAACCCCGGGGGGGAAGGAAGGGAAAAAAAAAAAGGGGGGGGGGTAAAAGGGGGGGGGAGAAAAGAGGGGTGGGGAAAAAAAAAAGAACACCAAAAAAAAGGGGGGGGGTAAAGGAGAGGAGAAGGGGTTGGGGGGAGGGAAAAAAGAGGGAGGGGGGGAAAAAGAACCAAAAGGAAGGGGGAAAGGGGGGGGGGGAGAAAAAGGGGAGGGGAGGGAAGGGGGGGGAAAAGGGGGTAGGGGGAAGGGAGGGATGGGGGGAGGAGGGGAAGGGGGGTAAAAGAGTTTTGGGGTTGGGGGGGGAGAGAAAAGGCCGGGGGGGGAAAAAAACCCCCGGGTTGGGAAAGAAATTTGAAAGGGCCGAATATTATGGTGGGAAAAAGGGTGGGATACCACACCAAGGGGGGTTCCTAAAAAAAACAAAAAAAATTAACGGGGCCTTCCAAAAAAGATGATCCCTCCCCCTAGCCCGAGTTTTTTTTCTTTTTTAAATTTCCAAAAAAAGGGGAAAAAAAAAAAAAAAAAAAAAAAAAAAAAAAAAAAAAAAAAAAAAAAGGAGGGGCTAGGCAGAAAGGCCTGTCCCCACACTCCAAACCCCCGGTTTTTACTTTTCCCAGGGGGAAAGGAGGGAGAAGGAGGGGCGGGTAGAGGAAGAGAGGGATTGGGTAGAGGAAGAGAGTCCTTACCTGATGTGGTGATGGTGGTGACAACAGGAGTGATACCAGCATCACTGTGGAGAGAGAAGTGTCACTACAGGCAGTGCACACACACAAACACACTTCTCACTCTCCGGGATCCTCGTCCACAGAGAGAATGAATCATCACACACACTAGCAGTTCTGTTTTTTTTCTTTTTCATGAAGAATAATTATCAGAACATGGAGAACACCCAAGAGTTGGGCTTAGGATAAACCACAAAACAACAAGAACAGCTCTACATAAAAAACAATCACAAGCCCACAGTAATAAACTGCAGAGGAGATGGGTGGTATCTCAGTTATAGCCCAGCGCTAGTACCCCTGATTCAAATAGTCAACTAATCATCTAGCCCTTGATTAGTGGAATCAGGTGGGCTAGTGTTGGACTTGAACATTAATGTATAACCACGTGGTCCAGAGGAATGGATTGTGGAACACTGGACTAAAGGGTAAAAGGACGGGGCTCACATGGCAGCCTGTTTGCTGAGCCACTGCTGGCAGGCCCGTCCGTCCTGAATGTACTGCAGCACATCAACTAGCATGGTCCTCTTCCTCCGCTCATCCTCCCGCACGTGCTTCACACGCTCATACACCTTGGCACCTGCAGGGGGGCACAGAGGAGGGAGGGAGGGGGTTACTGGTGCAGTCAGTCAGCCCTGGGTCCTGGCTGACACAAGGAAGTCACTAATGAGGCTCTGTCCCAAATTGCACCCTTTTCCTACAAAGTGCACTACTTTTGACCACAACTGTATGGGCTGTAATAGGGAATAGGGTGCCATTTGGGACACAGCTTCTGAGGGGGACTGTCTGAAGTAGGGGGGACAGGGTTAGATGGGTAGACTGGACTCACTGCAGAAAGACTGGATCCCTGCTCTCCTGTACTCCTGCAGCCTGCAGATCTCTCTCCTCAGCTCAAACTCCACTGAAAGACAAGGAGGACATGAGGTCAGAAAGGCCTGTCCACTCACCTCACCGGTCTGTACTGCAGAGAGGGAGACAGACAGACAGGCGGACAGACAGACAGGCGCAGAGAGATAGAGAGGGAGACAAACTCTTTATCCCTACGACAGAGAAAGCTGAACTCTTCACCCCTCAGACCTGTGCTTCCCAACATCAGAGCTGAACATCAGATCAGTGTTGTAGCCAGGGCAGGGTCTCTACCTCTACTGCTGCTCTCTCTGACACAACAAAGGAGTAACGCCATGCTATCCTGAAGCCCCAGCCCTTTAATCAGAACGAGTTGATGTCTCAGACACACACACACACAGAAACACGCCTCTCGCTCACAGGGAGTTCACACATCCAGTCATGTGACCTCCAGCAGGCCAACCATTGGGGTCTGCTGCTGCGTAAGGACAGGAGCTAATCTGACAGGCTCATTACCACGGCGATGAGCTTAGTGTTACCCACAATATTAAAGACGGGATCACAGGATGTGTGACTGCTGTCTGTGTAGAACGGAGGGAGAGGAGTTGGAAGAAACTGAATTCTATTGGTGTTAACATCAAATGTCTACTGTGTGTGCATGTACAATATAGCAATGTCATACTCACATGCATGACTCTCTATGAACTTGTCGTGTTCGATGGGGCCCACCACCCTGGCGAAACGTCTCATAGCATCATACAGATCCTGTACCTCCTTAGGGTAGCGACGCTCCAGTACTGGAAGACAAAAACACAATGGTCGTGAGACGTAGCTGTTATTGTAGAGCAGGGCTGCCCAACCCTCTTCCCGGAGATCTACCGTCCTGTAGGTTCAGTCTAACCCCAACCTTACATTCAGCTAGTTAAGGTCTTGGTGAGCAGCTGATAAGTAGAATGAGGTGTGGTAAATTAGGGTTGGACTGGAAACCCAGTAGATCTCCAGGAAGAGGGTTGGGCAGCCCTGTTGTAGAGAATATGACAGCAGTGATCTGTATTGGAGATCTGTATCATATTAAATCTTGTTAGATTAGAGGCTTTTGAGGAACACCAGAGGAGGAAATGTCCAGACATTGCAAACTGAGTGACCCCCTTGCATCAGTGAGATACCCTGCTGTGGCCGTGAACGGTTTAAAAGCTCCCCTGATGGGCATTTCACCACGTACCACCCTACTCACCCCCCCTTCACAAAGTTCGCTGCTTCAGTGTTATGAGATATTTTTGTATACTATGGTATACTGAAGTATAATTACAAGCATTCCATAAGTGTCAAAGGCTTTTATTGACAATTACATTAAGTTTATGCAAAGAGTCAATATTTGCAGTGTTGACCCTTCTTTTTCAAGACCTCTGCAATCCGCCCTGGCTTGCTGTCAATTAACTTCTGGGCCACATCCTGACTGATGGCAGCCCATTCTTGCTTAATCAATGCTTGGAGTTTGTCAGAATTTGTGGGTTTTTGTTTGTCCACCGCCTCTTGAGGATCGACCACAAGTTCTCATTAAGGTCTGGGGAGTTTCCTGGCCATGGACCCAATTTTCGATGTTTTGTTCCCAGAGCCACTTAGTTATCACACATGAATGGTCTCAGGATGCTTTACTGTTGGCATGACACAGGACTGATGGTAGCGCTCACCTTGTCTTCTCCGGACAAGCTTTTATCCGGATGCCCCAAACAATCGGAAAGGGGATTCATCAGAGAAAATGACTTTACCCCAGTCCTCAGCAGTCCAATCCCTGTCCCTTTTGCAGAATATCAGTCTGTCCCTGATGTTTTTCCTGGAGAGAAGTGGCTTCTTTGCTGCCCTTCTTAACACCAGGCCATCCTCCAAACGTCTTCGCCTCACTGTGCGTGCAGATGCACTCACACCTGCCTGCTGCCATTCCTGAGCAAGCTCTGCACTGGTGGTGCCCCGATCCCGCAGCTGAATCAACATTAGGAAACGGTCCTGGCGCTTGCTGGACTTTCTTGGGCACCCTGAAGCCATCTTCACAACAATTTAATCTCTCTCCTTGAAGTTCTTGATAATCCGATAAATGGTTGATTTAGGTGCAATCTTACTAGCAGCAATATCCTTGCCTGTGAAGGCCTTTTTGTACAAAGCAATGATGACGGCATGTGTTTCCTTGCAGGTAACCATGGTTAACAGAGGAAGAACAATCATTTCAAGCACCACCCTCCTTTTAAAGCTTCCAGTCTGTTATTCTAACTCAATCAGCATGACAGAGTGATTTCCAGCCTTGTCCTCGTCAACACTCACCTGTGTTAACGAGAGAATCACTGACATGATGGCAGCTGGTCCTTTTGTGGCAGGGCTGAAATGCAGTGGAAATGTTTTTTTGGGATTAAGTTCATTTTCATGGCAAAGAGGGACTTTGCAATTAATTGCAATTCATCTGATCACTCTTCATGACATTCTGGAGTATATGCAAATTGCCATTATCAAAACTGAGGCAGCAGACTTTGTGAAAATTAGTATTTGTGTCATTCTCAAAACTTTTGACCACTACTGTATATTGAGTGGACTCTGGTGGCTTTGCAGACATGGTGATTTCTTGGATAGTTCTATATTCTGTACACAGTGAATGTGGGGTAGTATGACAGCAGCTCAAGGCTGGCGGCCCACACATCTTTGTCTATCTGCAAGCTGGCAGCTGAGTTCCTCATTTATTTGGAGGCTGTACAGTGATAGGAACGTGTAGATAGAAGCAAAACACACACAAACACACAGGTAGAGTCAATGTCCTGTGATTTTAAACACTCCATTACAGGAATGGGCTCGATTGGTGGTCCTGAGGTACTGATGCCTATAAGGAGAGCGAGACTGGTGGTCAAACTGCCTGGAGCAACAGCATGATCAGCCCAGGCACGACACTGTGAGTCACCCAGGCTTGGACACAGCTTCCATTACCGTGTGACACACACACACTTTTCGACAGTCTCCATGACAACCAGGCTGCAGCTCCATGGCAACTCTGGGTTCTCTTCTGTCTTGAAAGACTAGCGAGATAAGAGGAGAGATGGGGAGGAGGAGGGCCGTAGTGACTGGAGGCTGGTAAATAATAAATAAAACATAAGGGTGTCCTCTTCCACCCCTAAAACTACAGCCAATTTCCCAGGGCATCACCTGGAGATAGCGCTGCACTGGGCGGTAAAGGAAAAAGAGGAACTGATTGGATAAATCTATTCAGGGAGTGTCTTGCCTTCCCATCTACCATGAATAAAAAGCGGGACATGAAAATGTATTATATTACCAAGCTAGATGAAACGCTGCCCATGGAGAGAGGATCAATAAGAGCTCATAAAGCTCCAATACAGTTGGTCATTAGGCCTGCAGTGTTCATTTCATAGGTATCTATTCATAGTGGAGCAATAATTATGCTGTGGCACTGTCTAAATTTCCATCGTAAATAAGAGCACAAGCAGTGCCTCTAGTGTCCCTAGGGTTACTGTTGATCATTATTGCAACCGTGTTGTTTACATGCAACCATGGATACATAATGCATATTCAGTCTGGGTGTTATATTAACGCCTGGTCTCCTGGTAATTCTGCAGCCCAGCTCTAATCTGTTAGGAGAGCACTTACTCTGGAACTTCCGCAGGTTGATCAGTCCATGGTCCCGGATGATCCTGTAAGACAAAACATAAAGACACCAAAGCCAAAAATATGGACACCGTCCATTGGTAAATACCAGCCAACTCTCAGGCCGGTAGAGAGAGTGAAAACAGCAGAGGGTTTAGACTGACATTTATTGAATGAGTGATTGTACTATATAGCTGCTAAACCTGAACCACATACACTACATGACCAAAAGTATGCAGACACCTGCTCTCATTCCAAAATCATGGGCATTAATATGGAGTTGGTCCCCCCGTAGCTGCTATAACAACCTCCTCTTCTGGGAAGGTTTTCCACTAGATGTTGGGACATCGCTGCGGGGACCTGCTTCCACTCAGCCACAAGAGCATTAGTGAGGTGGTGCTCTGATGTTGGGCGATTAGGCCTGGCTCGCAGTCAGCGTTCCAATTCATCCCAAAGGTGTTCGATGGGGTTGTATGGACCTCGCTTTGTGCACGGGGGCATTGTTATGCTGAAACAGGAAAGGGCCTTCCCCAAACTGTTGCCACAAAGTTGGAAGCACAGAATCGTCTAGAATGTCACTGTATGCTGTAGCATTAAGATTTCCCTTCACTGGAACTAAGGGTCCTTGCCCGAACCATGAAAAAACAGTCCCAGACCATTATTCCTCCTCCACCAAACTTTACAGTTGGCACTATGCAGTCGGGCAGGTAGCGTTCTCCTGGCATCTGCCAAACCCAGATTCGTCCGTCGGACTGCCAGATGGTGAAGCGTGATTAATCACTCCAGAGAACGCGTTTCCACTGCTCCAGAGTCCAATAGCGGCAAGCTTTACACCACTCCAACCGACGCTTGGCATTGCGCATGGTGATCTTAGGCTTGTATGCGGCTGGAAACCCATTTCATGAAGCTCCCGACTAACAGTTCTTGTGCTGACGTTGCTTCCAGAGGCCGTTTGGAACTCGGTAGTGAGTGTTGCAACCGAGAACAGACGGTTTTTACGCGCAGCACGATTCAGCACTCGGCTGTCCCGTTCTGTGAGCTTGTGTGGCCTACCACTTCGCGGCTGAGCCGTTGTTGCTCCTAGACGTTTCCATTTCACAATAACAATACTTACAGTTGACCGGGGCAGCTCTAGCAGGGCAGAAACTTGAACTGACTTGTTGGTAAGGTGGCATCCTATTACAGTGCCACATAAAAAGTCACTGAGCTCTTCAGTATGGCCATTCTATTGCCAATGTTTTTCTATGGAGATTGTATGGCTGTGTGCTCGATTCTATACACCTGTCAGCAACGGGTGTGGCTGAAATAGCCAAATCCACTAATTTAAAGGGGTGTCCACATACTTTTGTATATATAGTATAGCTTGAAGGTGTGGTTGTGACATAGAACAGCTTTGCAACAAGTAGCCTTCCTGTGCTGTGAAACAGGACCTGACAGTGGGGCCTACTGCGTCTGTAAACTCTGTGGCCGTCAGGTCAAGGGTCACTGCTTTGGGCCTCTGTCAAGTCACCAGCTGGGGGTGGGGGCAGCTTGAGGGGCAGGGGACAGGCTAGCAGGGGAGCATTTTCTACATCCCAAATGGCACCCTATTCCATACATAGTGCACTACTTTTGACCTATGTAGGGAATAGGGGTCCATTTGGGACGTAGACAAACATGCAGGGTACTGGGAGCTCTGGCCAGCTAACATACAATCCACACCCCACATGCCATTCCACAGAGTTAAGGGAGCAGCAACTCGTTAAGTTTGATTTAGTGATGGATGTATTACCACATGAATGGACTCACCACCGTGGCCAAGACCAGTACTGACACACTGAAGGGGGCTGAGGAGTGTGACAATTCATGAACGTCTCAAATTCATCTAAAAAGGTGGCCAGTTCAAAGAATACTCAAATTTGACAGTTGTGTAACGTTTAAGCCTTTCAGAATTCATGGCAACCGGTGATTCTGAACCAGTGCTTCAGTGATTATGCTAATAGGCTAGTGTTAGTAAAGTGTTGTTACTTGTGTAGGTATCACATTTCTGATTTTGGAAAGCAATTAAATGTTTTTGTGTTAACATTTGCTGAGTGTTATGGGCATATGATGAAGGGCAAGGATTCAAAGATATCAGGCCATCTAGTGGCTGAATATGCCCATTACATCATCAGAGTTAAAAGCAAAACATTTCAAACTTACTTCTTTCTTCTTTCTCTCTCCTTTAACCTTGAATGGTATATGTCAACAACGGCAACCTTCAGCGCTAGATAGAACCAAACAAATATGTCAGACAAGGCATTGATGATATTTTGTACAATAAACATACACTTCCAATCTCTATTGAAAGCGGGGTTGGACTTTTCTTTCAGCACTTTCAACTCACCATGTAGTATGTCCGTGTCATCATCCACAAAATCTATGTCTTTCAGATCCCACTCAGCATAGTTGTCAAATTCCTAGACAGAACGACAAATAACAGGAGGGGATCACAGAAGGACAAGGAGATGAGTCAGAGTTCAATAAGACTGCAGTGAGGTGGCCCTCTGGAGAACTAATATCTTAATTCATGCATACATAAGCAGGGTGGCAAGGGTTCTGTCTTGGTTATCTATAAGTACTTACTATGATTCCAATCATAATGTGCCAGGAGTATGAGGACATACTCATTATGACATGGGGAAATGTTCTTTGCAGAAGAACAAAAAAGGTGAATGTCTATGTCTTTGACTATGGCTTGTGAGATTGGAACTACTAAAGGCATGGATGCTTTAAGAACCTAGTTCCCCTCACCTCCATGAAGTCTGCTCTGGCAGGCATGTATCCAGCCATGTCTCGAGACAACAGGGAGTCAAAGGTGGGCCTGGGGGGGTCGTCAGTGGCTGGGAGGAAAACCAACATAGTACTTTTACCTTGTGCCCTGAAAAGGCCCTCATGACAAACAAACTGTGTAAGAAAGCAAGCATAAATGAGGAACGATGTAGTTGCATATCAGATAATAAATGACAAAAGCCATGTATTCCTCCCTGCCTTTATCAGCTGTACATCAAAAGAAAATATACTTTTGTGTATGAAGCATAGCCTAAATTGTATTTTTGTATGGCTTCAGAATTCTATAATAACTTGTATGGCAATCAAACTCTCCTTATTACTATGGAGGGAGAAATCCAGAGGAGTAGATGTGTTTTGTGTATACTAACGTTTGAAGGGAATGGCTGTGTCTGCAGTACGGGCCTCCTCTTTTTGTCTGAGATTGAGCAGGGTGGAGGAGAACAGGGGGTTGTTGATGAAGTTCTTCATGTAGTGGGCCTCACACTCCTCCTTGCTTTTGGTGCGCATCTGATACGCCACATCCTGCCTGTGTAGTCAAATGGGAAAGTGACAGTTATGTTTTTGTTATAAATTTCAACATGTTTATATTGATATTGGCAGACAGTACACGTGAGGGCTGCTACGAAACAAATCACAGACTGCAAATGGCCCCTAGTCTGCTTGGTTTGTAATATATGACACTTGAGAGAGAGGGAGAGAGTGTGGGTACTAACCAGTTCCCAAAGCCACAGTCCATGACAGCCTCCAGCAGGGCCATCTCCTCCTGTGCTGTCCAGCCAGGTTCCAGCACAGGGAAGTCTGACGTCTGTGTGAGGGAGGAGGCATGGTATTGAGCATGGTCACTATTGTTTAGCCAGAAACATACTTTTGGTAAATAATGGATGACTTAAGAGTCAATATTATAATATGTGTTACTCAGAATAGATGACAGGACAATTAACACCAATACCTTACCATGATTTCATACTTGTGATCGCTCTCATGTTTCTTGAACTCAAACCCTCTGGTAAAACACTGAAACATATTTTTGGGGGAAAATGTAGTGTCAGTAGAGATGCAGAGTTATCAAGTTAGGCAAAATGTATTAACAGTTTTATGCGCATGCCCGAGGATGCAATGTGCACCCCTCACCTGGAGACAGAGAAGGAAAGGTGAGGGTCCACACTCTGCACATTTTATGTAGGGTTCCACCAGGTTAGATGAGCAACCTCGACATCGGGGCTTGTCAGAAGGGTCATCTGAAAAAGAAGTCAGGTTAGATGACCAACCTCGACATGGGGGCTTGTCAGAAGGGTCATCTGAAAATAAGTCAGAGTAATGTCGCAAAACTGGCCAATTCTACTGGTAACCACACACACAGACGTTAGATACTAGAAATCTTCTGTTAAAATCTGTATTATTGGGCAGATTTAAAGCCAGCATCAAGAGGGCACGACAAAACCTATTCCTCCTAAGGAGACTGATAAGATTTGGCATGGGTCCTCAGATCCTCAAAAGGTTCTACAGCTGCACCATCGAGAGCATCCTGACTGGTTGCATCACTGCCTGGTATGGCAACTGCTCGACCTCCGACCGCAAGGCACTACAGAGGGTAGTGCGTACGGCCCAGTACATCACTGGGGACAAGCTTCCTGCCATCCAGGACCTCTACACCAGGCAGTGTCAGAGGAAGGCCCTAAAAATGGTCAAAGACTCCAGCCACCCTAGTCATAGCGCCAAGTATAGGTCCAAGAGGCTTCTAAACAGCTTCTATCCCCAAGCCATAAGACTCCTGAACATCTAATCAAATGGCTACCCAGACTATTTGCATTGCCCCCCCCCCCCCCCCGCTGCTACTCTCTGTTTATTATCTATGCATAGTCACTTTACTAACTCTACCTACATGTACATATTACCTCAATTATCTCGACTAACCGGTGCCCCCGCACATTGACTCGGTACTGGTACCCCCACTTGCTATTATTTTTACAAGCTGCTCTTTAATTATTTGTTACTTGTATTTTTTTTGGTTATTCTTTCTTAAAACTGCATTGTTGGTTAAGGGCTTGTAAGCATTTCACTGTACATCTGTTGTATTTGGCGAATGTGACAAATACAATTTTATTTGATTTAGCAGTAGCTAACTAGTTAACGTTGGCTAACAACACATAACTAGCAAGTTAGCGTAGGTACTTCAAGTCGGATACTAGCTGACAATTAAGTAGCTAACAGTGATGCATTGGTTAGCTAGCTAGCTGGTTGAATCAATTAGCTACATGAAAGCAAATACATAGTTAGCTAAAATGGTTAATTGTTATCTCGCTAGCTAGCTGGGCTAGCCTTCTAGCTAGCTATATTTAGCTAACGTTACGTCAGTGCGACGAGCTGAGCAGATAGCTAGATGGATAACCATATCTCGTGCAAACTCGTTTTAAGCCGTGTTTGTGCGCTGTTTTTATCTGTGCAATTTAGCCAACACTTACTTCCAAAAGATGCCAAGCGGTCCATAAGGTCAACCAAACAGCTAAAGCCCGAATATGTTGTTTGTTGCCAACGTATTGCTTCGCGTTCGATTCAGCGTGTCTGAAAAGGCAGCATTTGCGCAACTTTGTTGATTCTCTGGCTAAATGGATGCACTAAATTTGCGCAAAAGCTGCACCGTTCATGCTCAAAAGTAAAACATTTCGAAGGTTAACTAATCTATCAGAAAACACCGATTATCTGCGACCAGAGTGGGACCACCAAAGCTAACTTTTTTAAAATGATTTTGAGTGGAACATGAAAATACCATCCCAATGCTAACATAATAAAATATATTTATTTAGATACAAAAACGTGCATGGCTTGGCTACTGCAATCACACACACATACAACGCCTTCAGAAAGTATTCATAACCCTTGACTTATTCAACATTTTATTTTGTTACAGCCTGAATTCAAAATTGATTAAATTAATATTTTTTTCTCACCCATCTACACACAATACTCCATTATGACAAAGTGAAAACATGTTTTATGTTATTTTTTGCAAATTAATTGAAAATGAAATAAAGAAATGTCTCAATTACATAAGTAGAATACCCATAACATGATGCAGTCACCACTATGCTTGAAAATATAGAGAGTGGTACTCAGAGTTTTGTATTGGATTTGCCCCAAACATAACACTTTGTATTCAGTAAAAAACGTGAATTGCTTTGCCACATTTTTAGCAGTATTATTGTATATTTTTTAGGGTGTAGATCAGCTTGAATATCTGCATCATTTCCAATCCCCCATATATATATATATTTTTTTGTACAGTACCAGTCAAAAGTTTTAGAACACCTAATCATTCAAGGGTTTTTCTTAATTTTTTACTATTTTCTACATTGTAGAATAATATTGAATACATCAAAACTATGAAATAACACATATGGAATCATGTAGTAACCAAAAAAGTGTTCAACAAATCAAAATATATTTTATATTTGAGATTCTTCAAATAACCACCCTTTGCCTTGATGACAGCTTTGCACACTCTTGGCATTCTCTCAACCAGCTTCACCTGGAATGTTTTTCCAACAGTCTTGAAGGAGTTCCCACTTATGCTGAGCACTTGTTGGCTGCTTTTCCTTCACTCTGCGGTCCGACTCATCCCAAACCATCTCAATTTGGTTGAGGTTGGGGGATTGTGGAGGCCAGGTCATCTGATGCAGCACTCCATCACTCTCCTTCTTGGTAAAATAGCCCTTACACAGCCTGGAGGTGTGTTGGGTCATTGTCCTGTTGAAAAACAAATGATAGTCCCACTATGCCCAAACCAGATGGGATGGCATATCGCTGCAAAATGCTGTGGTAGCCATGCTGGTTAAGTGTGCCTTGAATTCCAAATAAATCACAGACAGTGTCACCAGCAAATCACCCCCACACCATAACACCTCCTCCTCCAGGCTTTACGGTGGGAAATACAAATGAGGAGATAATCCGTTCACCCACACCGCGTCTCACAAAGACACGGCGGTTGGAACCAAAAATCTCCAATATGGACTCCAGACCAAAGGACAAATGTCCACCGGTCTAATGTCCATTGTTTGTGTTTCTTTCCCAAGCAAGTCTCTTCTTCTTACTGGTGTCCTTTAGTAGTGGTTTCTTTGCAGCAATTCGACCATGAAGGCCTAATTCACACAGTCTCCTCTGAACAGTTGATGTTGAGATGTGTCTGGTACTTGAACTCTGTGAAGCATTTATTTGGGCTGCAATTTCTGAGGCTGGTAACTCTAATGAACTTATCCTCTGCAGCAGAGGTAACTCTTGGTCTTCCATTCCTGAGGCGGTCCTCATGAGAGCCAGTTTCATCATAGAGCTTGATGGTTTTTGCAACTGCACTTGAAGAAACTTTCAAAGTACTTGAAATGTTCCGTATTGACTGACCTTCATGTCTTAAAGGAATGATGGACTGTCGTTTCTCTTTGCTTATTTGAGCTGTTCTTGCCATAATATGGACTTGGTCTTTTACCAAATAGGGCTATCTTCTGTATACCCCCCTACCTTGTCACAACACAACTGATTGGCTCAAATGCATTAAGAAGGAAAGAAATTCTACAAATTAACTTTTAACAAGGCACACCTGTTAATTGAAATGCATGCTAGGTGACTACCTCATGAAGCTGGTTGAGAGAATGCCAAGAGTGTGCAAAGCTGTCATCAAGGCAAAGGGTGGCTACTTTGAAGAATCTCAAATATAAAATACATTTAGATTTGTTTAACACTTTTTTGGTTACTACATGATTCCATCTGTGTTATTTCATAGTTTTGATGTCTTCACTATTATTCTACAATGTAGAAAATAGTAAAAATAAAGAAAAACCCTTGAATGAGTAGGTGTTCTAAAACTTTTGACTGGTAGTGTATGTACAGTATCTCACAAAAGTGAGTACACCCCTCACATTTTTGTAAATATTTGAGTATATCTTTTCATGTGACAACACTGAAGAAATGACACTTTTCTACAATGTAAAGTAGTGAGTGTACAGCTTGTATAACAGTGTAAATTTGCTGTCCCCTCAAAATAACACAACACACAGCCATTAATGTCTAAACCGCTGGCAACAAAAGTGAGTACACCCCTAAGTGAAAATGTCCAAATTGGGCCCAAAGTGTCAATATTTTGTGTGGCCACCATCATTTTCCAGCATTGCCTTAACCCTCTTGGGCATGGAGTTCACCAGAGCTTCACAGGTTGCCACTGGAGTCCTCTTCCACTCCTCCATGACGACATCACGGAGCTGGTGGATGTTAGAGACCTTGCACTCCTCCACCTTCCGTTTGAGGATGCCCCACAGATGCTCAATAGGGTTTAGGTCTGGAGACATGCTTGGCCAGTCCATCACCTTTACCCTCAGCTTCTTTAGCAAGGCAGTGGTCGTCTTGGAGGTGTGTTTGGGGTCGTTATCATGTTGGAATACTGCCCTGCGGCCCAGTCTCCGAAGGGAGGGGATCATGCTCTGCTTCAGTATGTCACAGTACATGTTGGCATTCATGGTTCCCTCAATGAACTGTAGCTCCCCAGTGCCGGCAGCACTCATGCTGCCCCAGACCATGACACTCCCACCACCATGCTTGACAGTAGGCAAGACACACTTGTCTTTGTACTCCTCACCTGGTTGCCGCCACACACGCTTGACACCATCTGAACCAAATACGTTTATCTTGGTCTCATCAGACCACAGGACATGGTTCCAGTAATCCATGTCCTTAGTCTGCTTGTTTTCAGCAAACTGTTTGCGGGCTTTCTTTTGCATCATCTTTAGAAGAGGCTTCCTTCTGGGACGACAGCCATGCAGACCAATTTGATGCAGTGTGCGGCGTATGGTCTGAGCACTGACAGGCTGACCCCCCACCCCTTCAACCTCTGCAGCAATGCTGGCAGCACTCATACGTCTATTTCCCAAACACAACCTCTGGATATGACGCTGAGCACGTGCACTCAACTTCTTTGGTCGACCATGGCGAGGCCTGTTCTGAGTGGAACCTGTCCTGTTAAACTGCTGTATGGTCTTGGCCACCGTGCTGCAGCTCAGTTTCAGGGTCTTGGCAATCTTTTTATAGCCCAGGCCATCTTTATGTAGAGCAACAATTATTTTTTTCAGATCCTCAGAGAGTTCTTTGCCATGAGGTGCCATTTTGAACTTCGAGTGACCAGTATGAGGGAGTGTGAGAGCGATGACACCAAATTTAACACACCTGCTCCCCATTCACACCTGAGACCTTGTAACACTAACGAGTCACATGACACCGAGGAGGGGAAATGGCTAATTGGGCCCAATTTGTACATTTTCTCTTAGGGGTGTACTCACTTTTGTTGCCAGCGGTTTAGACATGAATGGCTGTGTGTTGAGTTATTTTGAGGGGACAGCAAATTTACACTGTTATACAAGCTGTACACTCACTACTTTACATTGTAGCAAAGTGTCATTTCTTCAGTGTTGTCACATAAAAAGATATACTCAAATATTTACAAAGATGTGAGGGGTGTACTCACTTTTGTGAGATACTGTATATACAGTGAGGGAAAAAAGTATTTGATCCCCTGCTGATTTTGTACATTTGCCCACTGACAACGAAATGATCAGTCTATAATTTTAATGGTAGGTTTATTTGAACAGTGAGAGACAGAATAAATAAAAAAAATCCAGAAAAACGCATGTCAAAAATGTTATACATTTATTTGCATTTTAATGAGGGAAATAAGTATTTGATCCCCTCTCAATCAGAAAGATTTCTGGCTCCCAGGTGTCTTTTATACAGGTAACGAGCTGAGATTAGGAGCACACTCTTAAAGGGAGTGCTCCTAATCTGATATAGAAATTAAAATATATACAGGTTAAAAGTAATGACTAAATGTTCCACCCTTAAATATAGTTGTGAAATGTTCTTGTTTTAAGTATGATTAGTACTTTCTTAGTAGTGACTAATTATTACACTCCGAAACTGTGTGAGATGTGTTAGAATCTACTACCTGGTAATGTGTGAGTGTAGGACCAGTAAAGATTATGACATTGTGTTACTATTTAGCAATGTGAGTAAGAGTTAGGCCAGACAACAAAGGACAAGGAGAACTGTCTACAGACAACTGAGAAACCAAGATAAAGGGCCCTCCCAATTTAGGGAGGACAGAGACTATGATAAGAACATGTGTGTATGTATGTGTGTGTGTGTGTATGTGTGTGTGTGTGTGTGTGAACTGATGGTCAGGAGAGCAGTTTTAAAGTGGAAAACTACAGCCCGCCTAAAGAGGGGAGGGATTTTTGTATGACGTGTGTGTATAAAAGATGGACTCTGAAATTGTGATAACAGAATTCTCAATGAATAAAGGCCTGAATATGCAGACCGGGACTCTGTCCGTTTCTTGATCCAAAAGCATTACAACCTTTTGGGAGACGCACAGAGACACTGAAATAGTTTGTTAAATTATTCTCATAACATAATCTCAGCTTGTTACCTGTATAAAAGACACCTGTCCACAGAAGCAATCAATCAATCAGATTCCAAACTCTCCACCATGGCCAAGACCAAAGAGCTCTCCAAGGATGTCAGGGACAAGATTGTAGACCTACACAAGGCTAGAATGGGCTGCA